GAGCCAGTCGCACGACGCCGGCGACGGCCAGCAAGCAGACGGCAAATCGCTGAGGCGGACGTCGCCCTGCTTCGAGCCGATGTCGACGTGCGCGGCCGCAGTCGGCTTGCGCGCGAGTGCGCCCACTAGCGCAGCCACGGGGTCATTCGACCCCCCGCGCCGCCCCGTCGTCGCAGCGGGCGGCGGCCATGCGCCCCGCCTCGGCCCTGGCTGCGTTCTCTGCGGCGCGCTTGACGGCGCGGTCGAGGAAGGCTACCTTCCCACCGTTGAGGCCGCCCTTGCCGAACGAACTCTCGTGAATGTTGAGCCCGGCTAGGTCTTGTTCAACCTGGCACGCGCTGTGCGCGACAGACGGACCGAGAAAGCGCGCGGCGCTCGCCGTGACAGAATTCGCGTGAAGTGCTGCAATAACGTCGCGGAGGTATTCCTCGTCGCGCTTTGCGCGCGCGTCGACGCCAGACAGAAAAGCTTGCAAATCCGCCATGGGTGCGAGCGGGCGCCGCCTGTTAACGCGTATGACGCGCTCGTGCGCACTCTGTCCGCGCTCGGCTGCAGCTCGCGCACCGAAGCCGACCGCGTACACGCGGGCCTCGTTTGGCCACCTAAATGACGCGCGCTAAGCGTGCACGGAGGGGGCGTAGACGCCGAATCGCGTCGGAACAGCCCCCGCTCGGAAGTTCGCTCGCGCGCCACACGTGCGGCGTAGACGTCGAATTGCGTCTTTATGTGACCTCGTTCGGTCGGTCGCTCGCTATCCCCGTTCGGATGCGGCGTAGACGTCGAACTGCGTCAGAATCGGACCTACTTCGGTCGTTCGCTCGCTATCCTCGTTCGGATGCGGCGTAGACGTCGAATTGCGTCTTAGTTTGACCTCGTTCGGTTGTTCGCTCGCTATCCTCGTTCGGATAAGGCGTAGACGTCGAATTGCGTCTGATCGGACCTTGTTCGGTCGTTCGCTCGCTATCCTCGTCGGATGCGGCGTAGACGTCGAATCGCGTCTTAATGTGACCTCTTTCGGTCGTTCGCTCGCTATCCTCGTTCGGACGCGGCGTAGACGTCGAATTGCGTCTAATCGGACCTAGTTCGGTCGTGCGCTTGCTAACGCCGGACGGCTGCGGCGTAGACGTCGAATTGCGTCTAATTTGACCACGTTCGGTCGTTCGCACGCGGCCCGCGCTCGGATGCGGCGTTGGCGTCGAATCGCGCCTGCAACGACATCGTTAGGCCGAAACGCAGACTGGACCTAATGAGGTCCCGTAGTCACTAGCAGAGTAGCGGGAAGTCGTCCTGGCATCTTTTCGAGCCCGGCAAAACGACGAGGGAATCGGCACCTGCGGGGGGAGAGGAGAGGGAGGAAGGGACCTGACAACGGCGGAGGCACCGCGCGCGGGAGAAAGGGGAGGGGACCTGCACGAGGGGCAGGAGGGCAGCGCGGCGAAGACCGGCGCGCGCGCGCGGAAGTCTTCCTGGCATCTTTTCGAGCCCGGCAAAACGACGAGGGAAGCGGCGCCTGCGGGGGGGGGCGAGAGGGAGGAAGGAACCTGACAACGGCGGAGGCACCGCGCGCGGGAGGAAGGGGGAGGGGACCTGCACGAGGGGCAGGAGGGCAGCGCGGCGAAGACCGGCGCGCGCGCGCGCGGAAGCAGCAAGCAGGGGCAGGCGGCGGAGCAAGGCGAAGCGGCACGCAACGAGCAGGCAGGCGGCGGCAAGCAGCACCGCAGGGCAACGCAGCACGCAGCGAGCAGGCGAGCGGCGGCAAGCGGCAGCGACGAGCAGGCGGCGGCGCGCGGGGCGACGGCAAACGCGCGCGGTCGCGCGCGCCCCGCGCTCAAATCCCGAGCGCGGGGCGCGCGCCACAGGCGCGCGCAAACCTGTGGCACCCGCGCGCGGCCGCGGCGGGCCGCGGCCGCGCGCGGGGGCGCGCGGGCCTGCCCACATCGCCTGCGGCGCGCCGCGGCGCGCGCGAGCCAAGCGGCGGCGCGGCGACTGCTCGCGCCTGCGTCCGCCGCGCGCGCCTGGGGCCAGCGAATGTGCGCGATGGAACCAGGGGCCGAACTCGTTCCATACAAAGACGTCCTTGTGGTAGAACCATGGCCGGGTCGGCGACGGACCAGGGCGGGCCACCGGCAGGAGGGGGGCGCAGCCACAGCCGCTGAGCACTGGTGTCAATGAGGGGTGTCGGGGCACCATCCAATAAGAGACCACTGGCGTGCGTGCGCGAGGCTGACAACCACCAGCAGGTAGCCGGTCCACTTACATCGTATCCGACTCACGCAGTTCGGGGGCACAACGATGCAATGTCCCGGCGAGGGCTGGCGCAGCGGCTGCGCCGAGAATAGCGAAACGAACTTGGACCGCGGAAGGCTGTACCACTCGATGCGGGGCCGCTCACTGACGAAGCCAATCACCATGTGTATGAAGGACAGCCACACCCACTCAACACCTGCCACGCTGCCCATGCAGAAGCCGGATGCCTCCGACGCCAGGGCATACGAGCGGCTGTCATCTGCCGAGCTGCTGGGCAGTGCCGTTCGCTGGCTGCGCGCTGACGTGCCAAGGGGTACTTAGTAGAACCATGGCTGGGTCGGCGACGAGGGGCCGATACTCCCTGGGCAGGTCTCACGGCGGACGCTCTTCTGCGCCCGATGCAATCTACGCTGTTGATCGGGGGGGGGGGGGGGGGGGGGGGGCGCAGCCAAAAGACGCAGAGACATTGTGAATGAGAGGAAGAGAAAGGGGGAATTGGTGGCGCAGCCAAAAGCCGCTGAACACAGATCCTGGTCAGGAGGACGAGGAGGAATCTGGGGGGCGCAGCCAAAAGCCGCTGTCACCGATGTATTGAGGAAGGAGGAGGGTTGGACGGCCCTCTGGAACAGTGCTGTCTGCTCGGAGTCCGCTCTTCCATCGTCGCCTAGCGGTCTCTGAGGTGAGGCGCCCGTCGCTGCAAGGGGGGCATGGTTGCCTGCCCCCTTGGTGGGTGGCCAGCGCCGTCCACTTCCATGGACACGTGTTGACTCTCTCAAGATACCTCGTCCACGGACGCCTCTTGGTTCCCTACGGCAGCCTCGCTCTGGCCTCTGAGGGCTGGATGGAACCTGCTGCTGGAGCTTCGCGCTCACGGCCTGACCCCCTGCGGGGGGAGGAGGGAGGCGTGAACGGAACTGGGGTCAGGACGGGGTCCAGGGTGGCGCCAGGACGGGCTCCATCCCCATCTATATTGCTGCCGTCCTCCGCGGGGCAGAGGGCCGTCGTGGACGCAGCTGGCGTCGGCCCTGGGCCTGCCTCGACTGCAGGGGGGGCTGCTGTCTGTGGGGGGTCTGCGCCAGACTGGATCTGGGGGGGGGGGGGGGGCCATCGAGACCAGTGACTGGGCTCCCGCGTCCTGCACTGAGTGATCATTGCCTCCATACCCGCCGTCAGGCTGGTCCTCCAGCCAAGAGCCGCTGGACACAGATGAAGATACACGGGGCATCCATGCACAGAAGTTTATGACCACGGGGGGGCGGGGCTGAGCGAGGGTGGTGCGGTGGGCAATGTCGGTCACCAACCGCTGCCGTTCACTGTGCTGTGCAAGAGGTGGAGCGCAGGATGTGGGTTATTTCAGCCACCCGTCGCTGCCGTCCAAAGGGGGCTGTCCTGGGGGGGTGACAACGACGACCCTCGAGCCCGCGCCAGCAGTGGCCTCCACCGAAGGAGGCAGTGGCCGTGGTCCCGCGCGGCAGACGAAGAGGCCCCAGTCGGCCGCAGGGGAGGAGAGGCCTGGCAAGGTCCACGAATCCAGCGTGGGCTGTCCATCTGCGCAGCGCAAGGGTATAGGTGCCCCACCGCCCCAGCGGAGGTAGCGCAGGGCATTGCGGCCAAGGCCGGGCGTTGCGGGTGAAACTGTCTGGGGGGGGAGGGGGGGGCGGCGACTGCTGGGCGAAGAGGAGCCGAGGGGGGGTGGGAGGTGGTGCGTGCTGCACACAGCAGGCTGCACGATAGGTGGTGGGCCGTGGTGATCACCGTTTCGCTGACTGCCTTCGAGGGAGGCGTCGTCACGGTTGGAGCCCTTCGGGAGCTGCCGAGTGCCGAGGTTGCGGCCAATCCAGAGTAGAGGGTACCAACCACGGCGGTGGGCGCTCCCTCGCTAGCTGGGGGGGATGGGCCAGTCTCGGACGGTCCCCTCGTTGCGTCCCCGTCATCTGGGTCAGGATCCCCAACCTCGTGGACGCTTGTCCGCGTACGGGTGATCTCCTCTGGGAGAATAGCGTTTGCCCTTCGCCTTCCAATCTGTCTCGGTCCAAGACGCACCTTGGTGCCCCCACGTGTCCCATGACTGTCATCCACGCCACGACGAGGTTGAGCTAGATGCACCGGTCCGCTACCCCCTTGCCTGCTGTGGTCCAAGGGGGTGGGCGGCCACTGCTGTCGACCCCGCGAGAGGTGTGCGGTCTGGCGTCGCGTTGGCGGAGCCTGCGGTGTCGATCCTTGACACTCGACCAGTCGACGCGGAACTTGAACTCTCAGTCCATCTTACAGGCATCGAATTCCGCTTTGCTCCATGCCTGGAGGAAATCGCTGCACTGCTGTACAGAGTTTAGGCTGGTGGGGATACGCGAAGCGTGAGCACTTCTTGTTTGCGGCAAACGTTCTCCCAATCGCGTAAGCTTTCGCTTTCAGTGCTGAGCTGTCGATAGGGGGAACATCCGTCGTGCCTTGAAACATATAAATATTCTCCAGGGGCCGACCATGCAGACGCATCTGCATGCAGAAAGCGTCTGAGCTGACCTTGAGTGCCATGGTGAATCCTGCCTGCCCACCCCGCACCACCTGAGGAGCATCCCTTGCTTGGAAGCAAGACCGGAAGAGACGCCTAAACAATGTCTTCATGCTATGGCACGTTCTCCCTCTCCCCACCTCCGCCTCCTCCTCGTCCTCCCCCCACTCTTCTCTACTTCATCCCTCCATGCTTGGTTTCTATCATGTACTCCTTTCCCGCACAGCTGAGCCAAAGCGAGCACCACATATGCCATACTTGGTGTTGTTGCGCGACTGAAACGGCTCCGGCAACGACGTCTCGCAGCAAGTTGCCTCCTTCAGGGGGGACGATGCCACTCGACTGTCCCGAGGAGATCCCCAGAGAGTCAGACTGGACACTCTGAACAAGTGCTCTCTGGAATCGTTCCTCGGCACGTCCTTCTGAAGGAAGGCTGGCCCCTGGTCTCTGCGAGGGGGGGGAGGGATAGGAGAGGGGAGAAAGAGAGGGATGGATGGATGCGGGAAGGAACATAGGGAGGGATGGGAGAGGGATGGAGATGGATTCGAGGCCCGGTGGGGGAGGGGAGATGAGCGGAAAACAGAAGCAACTATTCTTCGACTGTTCTGGGTGAGCCGCCTGGCCGCTCTCTCGGCGGCCAGTGTTGGCTAGTCGAGGACCCCGATCGTCACCTGCCAATCACGTTCTCGCTGATGGAAGCCGGGCAGCTCGCGTGACTTGAAGATCGCACGCCGCGGCTCAGCGCACGAGAAGAGGCACGCAGATTCCAGACCAAAGAACACGAAATCCCACCCCCTTATTCTCCACACCCTCCTCGTCCTTGTCCTCGTCTTCGTGCTTGTCCACGCCCTCGCCCTCGTCCGTCATCGCGTTCGGTTCGCTGGGTGGGGGGGATACGAAGCACCTGGCGACCCCCTTGCTCCCACGGAGCTCGTGTCGCGCCTCTCTGGCTCATCCTCTGCCTCTTGCCACGTGCCCCGCATGGCACGCCAGCTGGTCAGCCGAACAGGGCCACGGACGGGGGCGGGCGGGAGCAGGACGCGGACGCTGGCCGCCGCCTGACCACGGGAGCACAAGAGATCAGCCAAGGAGGGTCCTCCTGGTGGTGAGGGCCCCCTGTTCTATGGCGTTCCACTCGAGACGTCTCCGGTCTCCCACTCGGCGAAGCATTGTGGACCCCATCGCTGGAGCTGGCCCGCTGGTCCGGGTGGTTACTTTTCACCTCTCTACGTAGAGCAGCAATCGCAGGTGTAGCAGGGGCCCGGGTGGGCTGCCGACGGAGCTAGAAAACCAACTGCAGAGGCAGCAACGTCAGGAGGTCCTCGCGGATTTCTTGGATTGGCGCTGGACCTCCCTCCACTGGAACGCGCCAGGGGCGGCGCAGGAGGCGCCGCCAGGGGGGGGGGGGGGGGGCGATCGCCGACCCAGGAAATCCGCCTGGACTTGCCCAGAGCGGGGTGGGGGTGGCAGGAGCAAAGCTGTGCGGGGGGCCCCGCTTTGGGAACGGCCATCGGGCAGCGCGCCCCAGAATTTGCGGCCGTGGGAGTGTTGCTGGGGCAGCGCGACCAGGCAGCCAAGGGAGGCTGAAAAGCAGGCCAGGAAGGCGGAGGGGAGCGGGAGGAAATCGAGAGGGCAAAGGAGAGAAGGGGGTGAGAGGCGGGGAAAGAGGGGGGGAGAAGACTACTAAGGGAGACAGGGGAGGAGGGGGGGGGGAGGAAGAGCACGGGGAGCACGGGGAGGTAGGGAGCCAGCGGCGTGGGTCCTTGGTGCAGAAGATGTGCCCGCACTGCTGGCTGTCAACGGAGTTGGGCCTCGAAGGGCTGGTCCAAGCACGGCAGAGGTTGGGGGCCGGGCCGCAGGAGGCTCGAAGCAAGGGCATCAACAACAATGAGCGACGGTACACGCATCCGAACATTATGATGCATAAAAAGCTGAGGGGCTGGTTCTTATGAAAACACGGAGAGGCGGCTCGCTATGTACTTTTGGTCTTGCCCATGGCCTCAGAATCAACGGTGAACTTACGAATGTGCAACAACCGTGTGCCTCTGTGGCTGGCCGCGCGCAACTAATCAACTGCCACACCTGGTCGACGGTCAACCCTGAATTCTCGAATTCACGATTCACGTAAATCGTAACGTACGCACTTCTCGCGCGAAATCGCTTGCTCAACCAGGACACCTAGTGGGTCTCAAGGCCTCCAGGCGGGACGTGGGAACCTCCATTTATCAGCGAAAGAAAAAATCGCAACCGATGGGAACCAACATCAGGTGTGAGGGTAACCGCGGACACGGCTGTATTCAAATTGCCCATTGGCGATCACGGAGGGCAGCACTGGAAACGCGTACAGGGCCTGTCAAGAACATTGGTGGCAAGGGATGGCAGCACCCTGGCCAGGGAGGGTCAACAAACACATTGGTAGTAAATCGACGGCAGCACCTGGGTGGATGCAACTGTGGAGCTTGGAGGGCGCAGCAGAATCAACACAATCTGCAGCTCCTTCGGCCCGTTCATTGTCGGACAAGTGGCCCCAATGTCTCAGGACGGTTCCAAGGCTGCCCAGGATTAGCCAAGCTGGCTTCTTGCACGGGGATGGCACCAAGAGGCCTCCAAACATACGGAATAAATTCCTCAGGAGACCCGCAAGGGGCGCATCCAGCCATAGGGAGAAACGTGCGTATGGATTTTCATCGTTCGGAGCCTCCGATCTCCAACGGCACAATATGGCGTTCAAGGCCTCTGAACGGCCTTCGAGCCGCCGTGGGCGACGTCCCAACAGAACGGTGTTGATCGGAAACGACTGCTCCTCCTCCCGGCCTTCCCATACCCAGGGGAGCAGCCTGGCGGGTGGCATGATGTTGATCACAGGCTCCTGCAGCGATGCGGGGCAGGTGGGAGACTCCGCCGTCTGGTCGCAGCTCGGGGTCGGAACCAACACCGTTTTCGAAAAAGCAGCGAGCGCAATTGCCGACTAGAGTTCGGAGCTGGAGGTGACCCTCTCGCTGAGAAGACAGAACAACTTGGTTCCGTCCAAACCGTTCAACCCGCGAACCGCTTCGCCCTGGCCATTTTCCCCGTTCGTTCCGCACGCACCTGGGCCGTTTCGCCGGGACCGCTTTGCCCGGACAATTCCGCCCAGACCGTTCGCCCTGACAGCTTCGCCGGCGAGTGTACCGCTTCGCTTGCGAACCGCTTCGGCACCCGCCCGCTTGTCCTGCCTGCCTGCCCGGGTCCGCCCGCCAACCGCCCACCCGTTCGCCTGCCTGGTACGTAGTGACTGCCTGCCCGCCGCTGGAGGGCAGGACGACGAGCGGACGAGCGGGATGACGGCGAACGGACGAACGGCAACGATGGCTTGCTGGCGAAACGGCACAACGGTCCGCCTTCGGAGCGGTTCGTCGGCGAAACGGTCCGCCAGTGAAACGATTCAGGCGAGATCTTCCGGGTGAAACGGGCCGCCAGCGAACTCGTCTCGTGCCTCGCTGAGCGCCGCAGCTGCACAATCCGCCCCCCTCATGACATCCAGGTGTCTGAATTCGAAAACCGTGACGACGCAGGCACCGACCTGCCCTGTAGCCCCGCCACCTTCAGCAACCACTTCCCCTGTATAACCGCCCTCAGATCTCAACTACCCAAGTGCATTTTTTTACACAAGCGCTTCCCAGGATAATCTTTGAAGGGTCGCCAGGGGGAGCTGCGCTGTGAGGCCTAACCATGAGTGGCCACCAATCGAATACATTATGTGCGACGGCGCCCAGCGCGCGTAATAATTCTGGGACGTCCTCTTCCCAGCACCCGGACAAGGCGGGCGCGGGCGTTTCGCAGGGGTCAGATTCCACCTCTCTGGGGGCAGGTTCGGTATCAAACGGCACATCCCCAGAGGAAAGATCATATATACCAGACACACTCCCTGGAGAGCCTGCGTCACCTTTACCCGCGACCCTACTCGATGTCCGCCGTTGCCCCCTAGGCATTTCGTGGAGCTGAGGCCCACTTGTTACTGGGGCAGCAGCCATATACGACGCGAGACTTGGGCCATGCAATCAGGCGAGGAGTAACTCGAAGGGCGCCCGAATCTCGAACTGGCTCCAACCCAAAGAATATGATGTACAGAACATCTGCATATCTAGAGGATCGGCTATGGCTTCCACCGACTGCGAGAACTCAAACCTTCGAGCGATCGATAGGTACTCGAAACCACCCCCACCAGGGGTCCGGTCTCACTGAAGGATCTTCCAGGCTTGCTCCCGCCAAGCCACGCGTGAGGTGAAGCCTCTGCAGGCGAACGTCGCGGGCCTCCTCCAAGGTACACCCCCCGCTCGAAGAGGGCCGCGCTAATCAACGCTTTTTGTCTTCGAGGGGCACAAACACTTGGCGGGGGAAACACGGAATAACGAGGAGGGGTGGCTTTGGTTGGTCATGGGTCAGGGTCAAGCGCCAATCCCCTTGCACTATATCTCATAGCGACGAGTGGGGACCGAACGAGAGCCCGAGCTTCGAGCGAAGCGCGGGCCAGGGAAAGACACGACGGCGGAGAGACAATGACGGAGGGAGAAACCGAGGCCAGAAAACCACGGAGGGACAAAGGCCAAGCAAGGTAATAGATGGCAGCAGTCGCTACACTACTCACGCAATGCATTACCAACACTAACGCATGGGCGCTCAGGTGTTCTATCGGTTCTATAATTAAGACTCTGGATCAGACTCAATTGCAATCTTCGTTGGCATCTGCATGCAACTATCCTCATCCTCATCCGGATCAGCTCCATCCCAAACCTCCTATTCAAACTACACAGAGCACGGCGAGGGGAAGGATGGGGAGCAGGGGAGGCAAGGCCTATTATGACTGAGCTTCTTCCTTCTGGGGACGAAGGGGAAGGACCAGGGAGAAGGGAGGGCAGAAAAGGGAACGGGAGTGGCAGAGGAAGAGGGAGAAGAGGGAAATACAACGTCCCCGTAGGACTCCGTCACAGCTGCAATATGGGCGGCAGCTGCGACGGATACATTCCGCTCATCGACAACAATGAATGACCCTCAACGTCCAGGAGTCCAAGGGGACAAGTCTATGATTCCCTACGGCCCGCGCTTAATCCACGTTATTTCTGCAACTCAAAGATAACATTGCCAAACACATTGCGGGCTGCGACAAACATGGACTCAATGACGTTGGCCTCTTCGACAATAAGGTTGCAAACCGAGAACAGACTAATCATTGTCATCCCAAACAACCGGCTGATTGATTGGTTCGATCCGCGAAAGGTGTCGACCCCTTCCTGGGGACAATCCTTGATCCAGGATCCACTTCTGGTGACCAGGGGCATGGGATGCAGAGGCATGCTGAGGCCGAAATTATGAAACAACGGGTGGGTGGAAGAACAAGACTCGAGTAGGAGATCGACTGTAGAATTGATGTACACCAGAATTGTTGTTTGGCGAATATAAAAGAAAATGCGTACAATGATAGTAGATCTACGGACGTTCTACATATTTTCATTGCTTCGACAAAAAACTGCTGGAGTAAATCCGCCGCCCCCCTTGTGGGGCGCCGAAGGTTCGCAATTTCCTGTACCAGTTGCAGCTTCCAGTTTCCACTGTTACAATTCTGCTTCTTGCTGCTCACTGTTCCTTCTTGATGGACCGCGCGAGGGGGGGGAGGCCCAACCGGGCAGGTTTAGCACGCCCTGAGCGTGTGCTCTGAATTGCTGGAGAGGGTAAGAATTGACACCCCTCACGCAGATCGGCGGGATCAGGGTGCAAGAACACGTGGGATTTGCCACATTTCTGAAATTCGGTGGCACCCCTCACGCAGATCGGCGGGGTCAGGGTCCAAAAACACGGGTCAGGGTCAAAAGACACGGAGGATTTGCCACATGTTTTAAATTCTGGGGCGCCCCTCACGCACTTCCGCGCGGTCAGGACACAAGAGACTTCCAACATTTTCGAATTCGGGCAGAAGATTTTGGCACAGCATACGGGAGCAAATGGAAAATACAACAGCGAGTACAACAATAGACTCGCAATCTCCATTCGTCTTGCATTACCCATCGTCTTCGCATGAAGTTCCGACGCTGCTTCACGGTAAAGCCAAAGCCTCATGACTTCGCTCTTCCATGGCCCGTTCTCCGAGAGAGGGGGCCGGCGGCAGGGGGCGAAGCCCTTACGGCGGTATCAATTCTGCAGTCGAACTCCTACTCGTATGAACGGCCCCCGAAGGCTGAAACTACAGAAAAACGCGTGGATGGAAGACGAAAACATCCGCCCAAAGTCTGGGACGGAACCTTGAACTGTGGCGGAGGTTGCGCGGCTCGGAGCGCCCTTTCCCCCTGCGCGCATTGCGCCGCCACGCCGTTAGGGGAGGCCCGCCGCGAGCCCTGGCGCGGGCACCTCCGACGCGAGGTCAGCGGCGACCGCCTCGGCCCCAGCGCGCGGCATCGCCCCGCCTCCCTTCGGCAGCAAGTCATGGAAGCCTTGTATATACCCGTCGTCAGCAGCACGTTATCGTCGATGCAGCAAGTCATGGCAGCAAGTCGTGCCAGCAAGTCATCGTCGATTAGCGTTTGGTTATCGATGAGATAGGGCTGAGCTAACGTCGATTAGCGTCGATCTAGCGTCGACGAGCGTCAATTCGCAAGAGCCAGCAAGATGGTGTGGGAGGCTCCCATAAGTTGCAATCGAAGCCTCCCTCTCCCCATCGCCCTGCTCATGCTCGTACTCGCACGCGCGCTCGCACCCTGACTCCTCACTGATGTTGCAGCTGCCCACGGTCCCTGATCTGGCGCCCCGGAGAAGACTGCTAACGAAGGTGACCTTGGAATTCAAATAGAACAGAACAGAAATCAAATCGCATGGGAACTCTCACGCTTAACTGCTAGGAAGTCTCGCACTCTCGGCGACGCGACGGTCGAAGCCCGCACCCGACGGAGCGCGAGAAGTCCAAAGAAAGACAGAAAGAGAGAGATAGACTAACACCAAAAACAGAAAGCGAACGGCGGCTACATCGGCGGAGCTCCCCATCGCTGCACATCACAACCCCGTGGCGAGAACCAACGGTCTGGCTGCGGTGGCCCTAGTCCGGCTCAACCAGCGGGATGCTGGGAGCCGCCGCGCGCAGAGACACGAAACCCACGGCCGACTAAAGCTCAACCATGGAGGCAACTGGGAGTGCACAGCCGTCAGGCACGACGAACCCTCGACTGGGGAAGCATCTGGGGACACTCAATCGCGGCGCAGTGACGCTCGCGAGGGAGGCAGACTGGAGCGCAACCCTCGCTGCCACAATTGAAACTATCCGATATCCTACAGACAGAGACATGCGGCGGGACAAGGCTATGCCCAGGGAGTGGGAGCTGACTCTCTCAAACACAAGTGGCCGCAAAGACAGTTCCTGATATTATTACGCGCAGTGTGCATCGTGCTCGAAGCGCTTGGGAGTTCACACGCCAACGCAGCCGCGCCCTGTCACCACCTCGAAATATCAACTGAGACGTTCAATGCCTGTTGAACTCCACGTTCGCTACATAATACTGATTAGCTGCAGACAACATGGATCCCCAAGGTCCCACGCAAAAGTCAAAGTGGACCCAGATATAACCATCAACGGCCGACGTGGGCGCAAAGCGGGTCTCGGAGAAGCCCCGAATGCTTCGCGGAGCGCCCCCGAAATCGGAACATCCGAAATCAATGTGTTGTTCAATACTTATTGTATGTCCTCCTCTTCGGCTCCAAATGGCCCTCAAGCGGACACCCGAAGCGTCCGACGAGTCGCGTAGGCCCCGAAACTACCTCCAAGCAGGCCCAGAACCTTCCAACTATCCTTCTAAGACGGCTCGGAGACGGACTAAGACCGCCCCGAGACCAGCGCACTGAACCCCCGCCCAAAAAAACCTAGAGACATCCGAGGGAGAGCCAAGATAGCTCCCCAAGCCCCCAGAGAGCCTGAAGAGGGCCCAAGATGGCCTCAGAAATGCCCCCGAGCGCTCCCACATCGGATCCTCAGGTCCCAAACATGGCTTCAGCGACCCTCCTGAGTTGCTTCAAGCCTATAGAAAGTCGCCAACCTGCAAGGAACCGACGGGCCGCTTTTTCCACGGCCTTGGACCACACTGAACAGTTCCACTGCAAATCCGACCTTCCCTGGCAAATTCCGCATACCTTCATCGTTTTCTGAAGGGACCGTCTTCAAACCCTACTGCAACTCCTACCTGCCTGCTAAGGCACATGCCGTCCGAAGAATGCGAAGGTCTTCAATCCGCCCACTCACCGGTCTCAGGGGCGACCAAGGGTTAACTACTTCCGGAAACTTAAGATGAGCGCGATCCACCGTCGCTGGCCTGCGCAAATTCTTTCAGGGGGGCTCGCAAATCAGGGACCACCTTTTAACAAATCTCCCAAAAAAGGGGGGGGGGGGGGGGAAGAACCCAAAGACTACCCCCCCCCAAACTTCTCCATCCGCAACCCCCTCCCCACCCCGGGGAGAACCTAGCTGGTCCTGTCCCGGACACCCCCCACCCCCAGGAAAATGCGGGGGGTCCCTCACCCCTCCCCAGAGAATTCTTCGGGAAGGGCCCAAAATCCTCAAACCCTGGGCGACGACGACGACAACGACGACGACGACGTCTACGGCAACGCCGACGACGGCGACAACGTCAGCGGCGGCTGCGGCGCACCTGTCGCCGGCGCTGGCGTCAAGCGCCGGCTCTGATAAAATGCTAGTAGGGCTCGCTCCAGTTCTCTCCGAATCCGACTATGGCCCAACTGTACTCTACCCTCCTTTCCTTTTCCTCTACTCCACCCTACTCAACTCGACCTTGCTCTACTCTACCCTACGCCGTACACTTACATATTCTATTTTACACTTTGTGCTCCGCATCTTCCCCACTCCGACTCTACTCTACTCAGCTCTACCGTGTGTCGGTCCTGCTCAACTCAACTACTGTCCTCGACTCGATGCTACTCTACTCTCATATGATGTGTATCACCCTATTCTAGTCTACTCCACTCTATTCTACCCTGCCCTACTCTACCATTTCCACATCCCACCAAACTCTAATCTACTCGACCCTATTTGCTCATAGTCGTCGTCTTCGTCATCCTCGTAGTCGTCGTCGTCTCGTCGCCGTCATCGTCGGCGTCGGTATCGTCGTCGTCGTCGGCGTCGTCGTCGGCCTCGTCGGCGTCGTCGTCTTCGTGGTTGTCGTGGGTCGTGGGTCGTGGGTCGTGGGTCGTGCGTCGTGCGACGTGCCTCGTGCGCGGTGTGCCGTGCGTCGTGCGCCGTGTGTCATGAGTTGTGCGTCGTGCGTCGTGCGTCGTGCGTCGTGCGTCGTGGTCGTGGTCGTGGTGGTCGTCGTCGTCATCGTCGTCGTCATCGTCGTGGTCGGCGTGGTGGTCGTCGTCGTCGTCCGCGTCGTTTGCTGGCGTCGGCGACGTGCGTCGTGTGCTGGCGGAGGCGGCGGCGGCAACGTCGTCGGCGCCTTGCTGGGGGGGGGGGGGGGAGGGGCGGGTGCTTTGGGCCCCCCCATAATTCTCCTGGGGGACGGGGTGGGGTGGGGGTTGTGTTGTCCCCCTGGAAAAATAAAAATTACCAAGGGGGGGGAGGGGGGGATTCAAGACCCCCCCTCTGTTTTTTAGGGGGGATGGGAGGGGGACCCCCCCCCCCTCTGCCAGCAGCGGCCGGAAGCGCTCTTTCACGGCTCGCTTGAAGACTTAAGCCACACGTTTCCCCGCAGCCCGCTACGACCTATCCCCTTGTCTGGCTGCTGGATCCAAAACGGTTCCAAGACGGCGCCCACGAAAGGCTCGACAACCACACACGGCGCCCACGAAAGATTCGATATCCCGTGGCACCCTCGCTGTCCGCCCGCGACTAGCGCCCTCGACGCGTGCGGGACGCCATTGATTGTCTCGGCAGTGGCGACCAGTGCCCTCAACTCGCGCGGCGCGCAATTCCATTTTTGATTTTTGATTCGAACTAGAACCGCTGCTGGCATCCGCCAGCGCTTGTCCCGCGCGTCGCGGGGGCGATGTTTCGCCGCGAAATGCGCGGCCCCGCGATCCTCTCGCGCGAAGCTCGAGCGATTTCTGCTGACTTTCACGTGGCCCCGCGACACTATCTCGCGCGGCGCGCGAGCGATTCCCCAGGCGACGCGGGCGCTTCGTCACATGCGGCGCGCCGCGAGGGTGACCGGGCAGTCTCGACGAGCCGCGCCTCGGCCGCCCCCGCCAACCGCGCCTCGATCGGCCTCGCCAACGACTCGCGGCGCCGACAGCCCGGCCCAGGCGAGGCAGGGGGCAAACTTCGACCGGGGCGGGGGGCGGAGTGGGGCGCCGGGGGCCGTCGCGGGGCGCCTGTGCCCCAGAGCCGCAAGGCTCGAGGCTGCGCCCGCGCCTGAGAGGCACGCGCTCCGAGACCTGCCAGGCGTAAGCGCGCCCCCGGGCCCGCTCCCAGGGCGCCGGAGGCCGGACCTCGCGCCGAATGCCCTCTGGGCGCCGGCGCCCGCGTCGGGCCCCACGCGCTAGGGCATGGCATGGCCCGCGACTCGCGGCTACTGATCACGACCCGTGGCCCGCGTGAGAAATTGTTGCGCCGATCTGCACTTTCAAACGATAAATGAAACGTGATCGACCCACAAACCCGGAAAACCGATATGGGAATGCGAAGCATGGCAACGTTTTCAAGACACCTGATTGGGCGACGGGCAATTGTAATGCTGAATGCATCGATCTTGGTGTACCGTGCCCAGGGCTGTGCTGTGCTGTGCCGCGCTGAACTGCGATGTGCCATGCCGCGATTGTGCTCTATAGCGTCGTGGATCGAGTCCTCCTCGGCATTCGAGTCCTGACCGAACTGACATGAATCTTAAGCTCGAGCTGTGTGAGCACATAGTAGCCGCCCCAGCGCTAGTTGAAAAGGAAACGTGGAGGATGTGGAATCAACTCGACCTCAAAATCCGACTCAGCTCCGAAAAGGAAGGACACGACACGGAGCACAGGCTCACGGACGCGCCACAGAATGTGCCAGGGGCGCATTGGGGAATGCGCCAGGGGACGCGTCAGGGGACGCATCAGGGGACGTGCCCTGGACGCGTCAGGGACCTGTCATGGGACGCGCCAGAGCGCGTGCCATGGGGCGGCCAGAGGACGTCGTGCCAAGGGACGTTTCAAGGGGCCCGCCACGGAATGGGCAGGGGAAACGCCTGGGGACGAGCAAAGAAGCAGAACAGAGGACGAGCTAGGGAACGTGCCACGCCGAGCGGCGTGCTAGGGGACGCGCCAAAGCACGTCACGCGTGAACGTCGCAAGGGACGCGCCGAGGGGCGCGCCGGGGCGCCAGGGGACGCCCAGCGGACGGGCGGGGTTGGACTGCGACGCACTCTAATGCGGCAAGCGTTTCGCTCGAGACTTTCCCAACAATC